TTTAGTTACTAGCTTACCTTGTTCTTATTACTCATTAGGTCATAATCATGCTCTAGAATCCGTTTTAATGTGCTATCTGTATCAAGATCATCGCCTGGTTTCATACTGGCTCCAGATTGGCTACCACCACCCACTGTGTTCATCGTCACTTGTTTCACCCATGTAATCAGAACTACTCTCTGTATCCTTTTCTATGTTTATGTCCTATAAATTACAAATGTAATTCTTATAAACTTTTCTTACTTTCGCAGTCCTCGATCTGCAATATCATACGGATAAATTAAATCATGCGGTAAATTAAACCTTTCATAGCGCGGCAACGTTAAGAAAATTACACCCTCACAACACGATAGTCAATCAGCGTTACACATATTTTTCAAGTTATTGCTACTAACTCTTTCTGTTATTAAATTATAAAAGTTCTGAAACGTCCAAAATCAAATTTGTAACTTGAAAATGAAACTTACTTTTGTATAATAATCAGCGTGTTGGCCTGAACTGCCATCTTCGGAAATTCCGGTTGTAGATGATGCAGCTCGACTGCCACTGCTTCTCGCTCTACGACGAGGTTCTTGATGCTCTGTTTCGTTTCGATTAAGCGCTTTGACATCTTACAGCTTCTCTTTTAGCGTTTGTCCCAAGACAGATTCCAACCCTTACACAATGATAAAATATATTTATATTTCTTTAATGTGTACTTTAATATGATTTGTACAAGATTAAGTTCGCTAATGCTTTTCTAACTTACTTGGAAGTGCATGAGGTATTCCACTGCTTTTCTACCTCTTAATGACATTAATGACATCAAGCATCTGCAAACAATTTTATAGTTAGTTTGAACTGCGAGTTTCCGTACGATAACAAAATTACTTATATCTACTTGTACATACAATATAAGCGTGTTTATTTCTATATTTCATAAATCTATAATTTGATGTAATTGTTCAAATACAGCTTTAGTAGGTTTCCTCTCTACTTTTGCAATCTATATCTCTTTCATATTGCAAGGATACTTTTTACTAAGTTCAAAATTAAATTTGCATTTTACACTTACCTATATTTTTGCACGTGAAATGTAGCCAGGTATTAGGCATAAACAAATCTGATAAATAAATTAAAAATAGGTTAAGCACGTTTCCCGTGTTGATGAACTATTACGTAATGCGTTCCGAAACCACCACATATTTTACGTCTCACCCCCACTCTCCGGCAGCTAAACGATGTACAGTTTTTCGCTTTTTTTTAGCGAAACCGTGATCTAACAAACGTTTTAATTAGTATAATGAGAACTAACAAACGATTCCGCATTGATTGACCACGGTTTGAATCGAAAATTGTAAAGAATTCTATATTTACCGGCTAAATTAACACTACAAATTATTTTCGTAATTACGTAAAAACTATTAACTAACAAACGTTCTAATTAGTTTAACAATCAATAACAAACGACTAACAATCGATTCGTAAAAAAAAAATGTCGTAAGTCGAAATTGTCCGGCTAACTTATATATGAGGTCTACTTTTATGGAAAATGTCGCCTATTCCTAATTTTATGGGGATGGCTACTATGGGGATAAAAATTAGAGGTTTCATGGGGTTCTATTGGTGTTCCTAATTAATGGGTGAATTTGGGGAGAGGGGAATAGACTTTGAGTCCGCGCAAAGCGCGGGCGAAAGATCTAGTCATACTATTATATAAAACCAGAGTGTTTGTCTGTCTGTCCGTCTGTCCGCAAACTACTCATTCGTTACTGGACCGAATTTTTAACAAAAGTATATGAAATAAGGGTAGAATTTCCCGGGGAATGCCATGATGTGTATAGTTTTTTGTTACCGATTTTCTGAAAACCGATTTTTCTAATTCTTCTAATTTTTCGGGAAATAATTGACCGAATCTCAAAGAATTACATATGAAACAGGGATAGAATTTTCCGGGGAGTGCTATCAAGTGTATAATTTTTCGTTACCGATCTTTTTGAAAGTCAGTATAAAAAATTTTTCGACAATTAATTGACCGTATCTTAAAGAATTGTATATGAAGTAGGGGTAAAATATATTTCCCGGGGATTGCCATAAAGTGTATAATTTTTTGTTACCAATTTTTTTGTTACCAATCTTTTTGAAAATCAATTCCAAAATTTTTTCAATTTTTCCGGAATTAATTGACCGAATCTTAAAGAATTGTGTATGAACTAGGGATAGAATTTCCTGGGGAGTGCTATAAAGTATATAATTTTTTGTTACCGATCTTTTTGCATTTTTCCGGAAATAATTGACCGAAACTCAAAGAATTGTATATGAAGTAAGGGTACATTTTTTTTCCGGAGAGTGCGGGGTGAGGAAAAAAAAGAAGCAATAAATTTCGTCGCCGCGAATAAAAGCGTCCACCCGTTGAGTGATTTGGGGGTGGTATAATTTAAGCAATCCGGAGATTGCCAGAAATTTTTCGCTCCCGATTTTTTGGAAACCGGTTCCGAAATTCTATAATTTTTCAATAATTGACCGAATCTTAAAAAATCTTATATGAAATAAGGGTAGAAAGAACTAAAGAATGTAATAGAAATTGAAAAATTGCTAATAGTAAAGGGGTTTCCGATTTCTGTAAAAAAAATGTACGTGATTGCTCCAATTTCCGCAAACTTTGAGATATCAAGCTAAATTTTTGTTATGGATAATTTTTATAGATAATTTTTTGTTACCGATTTTTTGGAAACCGGTTTGGAAATTATTCAAATTTTGAGAAATAATAAGTATTAATTGGCCAATTTTCTTGAAAACAATGCCAAAAGTCTTTTAATTTTTGAAGAATAAGTTTTATTTTTTATTAATGGATCAAATTTTCTTGAAACCAGTGCCAAAATTTTTTTAATTTTTTGTTGATAATCTTGATGAAACTGATACCAACAGATTACTAATTTTATGGGGATGGCTACCATGGGGTTGAAAATTGGAGGTTTCATGGGATTCTATTGGTGCTCCTAATTAATGGGTGAGTTTGGGGAGAGGGGAATAGAATTTGAGCCCGCGCGAAGCGCGGGCGAAAAATCTAGTAATAAATAATATTATATAAACAAGTATAGAAATTATATGTGTTTTTTATTATGTGGATAGATAGCCCCTCGAATGTGAACAGATAGCCCCGCATATGGAGCTATCTAGCTGTCTACGCTTGACTTGTCCACTTAAAAAATTCGCCTCTTTAAAATGTTAAAAGATCAACGAGTCTAATTATGTTTTTTTTTTTAATAGCAAGGTTGAAAAGTTATACTATTAAAATTTTAGCCAAATATCTTTAGTATATAATATTATTTATAATTTTTAGGTTATCTACAGGTGTGCACGTGCATCTTAGTGCTCTTGTTCAATTGAAACAATTTAGCGTTTAAAACAATTTAGCGTATTTATATAATATTTTGTTGACGTATTCGGCTAGCAGAATTTTTTCTGTAAAACTGTACATAATTCTTGTGACTTTTGGAAGCTGGTTGTGTGAATAAATCTGAGGTGGAAATACAACTTGACCTCTGTCGCCACGTGTTGTCTCATGAACTGCACTGGTACGGGTGTGCACGAATAACGATACAATTCTGAGATGGCATCGAACAAGGATAACGCCAGGGTGTCAAGGGAAGTGTTAAAGTCTCAAAGGATATGCTATCGCTGTGGTCCTGATTCCAAGTCTATTCCTATTGCCAATGCATCCTCACAATGTCCGGGCTGCGGCGTCCACTACCATCCAAGCTGTTTTGAGAGCTTTAGTAAAAATTCATCTGGAGCTGTCAATAGATGTTGTGGCTCAAGACCTGGGACTCCCAATACTGATATTAACCCGCAGAACCTTGGTCAATCGTAACAGGTGGATATTGCTGCGTTGCTGGAAAGGCAAACTGCCAAAATTACGCAGTTTGTACAAGCATCCACGTCAACACTAAAGTCTTCGTTAGATGACCTTGCTGCCAATCAATCGAGACTCGAGGCTGCGATTGATAAACGTTTTACTACGATTGAGAAGAGAGTCTCTGTCATTGAAGGTACGATCAAGAATTCTCATTCTCTAACAATGTCCGAAGTCATTAAGGAGTACAGTGACCGCATCGCTTGTAAAAAGAACTTAATTGCCTTTAATATCGTTGAGTCAACTGCGGTGGACCGTGACAAGCGTATAATTGAGGATTTAGAGAATTTGAAGAAATTGCTGAAGATTAATGATGTGGACACTTCCTCTCTGAAAGCTGTCAGAATTGGCAAACAGATAGCTAATGTCACGCGTCCGCTAAAGATACTCGGAACATCGGAGGCTGCAATGAACGAGATATGGGCCCAGTATGTGATGGCGAGGAATGTCACCATTACTTCATCACCTCAGCAAAGTCAGGGGACCAATCCATCAACGAAGACACCGATATTGGCCCACGATCGGACACCAGCTCAGCGTGCAGAGTACAAGAAACTGAAGGTACTCCTGAACGAGAGAATCAGCAGCGGAGAAACCAATCTACGTATTGTTTACAGGGAAGAAGTTCCTTTGATAGTTCGAATCAAGGACGCAGCTCAAAGAAATCGCCAATAATTTTATCTGTCTATTATCAAAATGTACGGGGTATGAATTCCAAACTTAATACATTCTTAACTTCCCCCGACATTCTCTCATATGATATTGTTGCAATCACCGAGTCCTGGTTGAGCTCGTCGGTACACTCTCACGAGGCTTTTGATTCCCAATGCTTTTTTGTCTATCGTAATGATCGTGTAGATCGTATCGGCGGTGGTGTATTACTCGCAATTAGATCTAACTTGAAATCGATGCTCTTTCCATTATTGAACTATCCTGCTGAGCTGTCTGACATAAACATTATCTGTGTAAAAGTGGAGTCACTGCATAAGCCTTTTTATATCATACTTTTTTATATTTCACCTAACAATAAACTTACGGTGTATCAAACCCTGTATGACTACATCATGAGTCTTCGCAAACTCTGGAACAAGCGTATTTTAGTGCTTGGTGATTTCAATATACCGAGCTTTATAAATTTTTCTGTCCTCAACCCACTACACGCTGCAACGTCTGCTTTTCTCCATTTCTACAACTTAACTCAATACAGTCAGATTGTCAATATAATAAAAATAAACTGCTAGACCTCGTGCTATCAAACTTATGTGTAACAGTCGTGCGCTCAGAATTTCCTATCGTACCCGAGGATCCGTATCACCCTTCGCTATACATCGAAATCTATTTTACTGAGCGTTCAATTATTACTCTCAATGATGCAAAATCTGAGTCCTGTAAAGATCCCTCTTTCAACTTTAAATGCTGTGATTTGCCTAAATTAATAAATAATTTAATGTCCTGTACTTGGGAAAATGTATTTCGCTCCCTAAACGTTGATGATGCCTGCCATGAATTTTATAGAACCATATTCGAGCTTTTTGAGATTTGTGTGCCTAAATTTAAACCTAGGCGTATTGCGCTGAGTTATCCCTCTTGGTTTACACGTCATATTATATTATTGGTTAAATCTAAGGATAAATACAGGCTAAAAGCAAAACGATCGGGTCGTACCGATGATCTGGATAATTATAAAGCTATTCGGAACGAGCTAAAGCATCAAATTGTAAATGCGCATAAGGACTATATTTCACGTATTGAAAACTGCATCTCATCCTCTCCTGCATCCTTCTGGTCTTTTGTTAACCAATCGAATAAGGCGAAGCGTATACCTGAAGTTATGTACCGAAATGATATTGAAATTACCGGCCCAAAGAATATTCTTAATGCATTCAGGGATTTCTTCAGCTCTGTTTACATTGGTAATAATAGCTCTTGGATTGATAGTGTGTGCTGCGCTAATGTGACTGTGGCTGGGAAATTTATCACCCTGGATGCAGTGAGAAAAGCTATCCGCTCTCTTCCGAATAAGTTAATTGCAGGCTTGGACGGCATTCCTGCCTCCATAATCAAACACTGCTGGTTATATTTTAGTTTACCGCTGACTCATATATGTAATTTAATAATTAGCAGTGGCCACTTTCCACCCGTTTGGAAGAAAGCTCGTATCACGCCTGTGTTTAAAAAGGGTGCGCGCGAGATCATTGATAACTACAGGCCTATCACTATTTTATGTAATTTTTCGAAAATTTTCGAGAAATGTTTATATGCCATAATTATGCGAGCGTTCCTGCCCATTCTCAGCGATTGTCAGCATGGCTTTGTATCTGGACGGTCAACGACTACAAACCTACTTACTTTTCTTCAAATAGCTTGTAACTCACTTGCGGTTTGTGGTCAATTAGACATTATTTATACTAATTTCAGCAAAGCGTTCGATGTTTTAGATCACGGTGTTATCTTATCTAAGCTTAAGCGACTTGACCTACACTGCAATATCGTTCGTACCGTCGAGTCCTATTTACAAAATAGATCTCATGCAGTAGTATATGATGGTGTCAGCTCTGATCCTTTTTGTCCGTCCTCTGGTGTGCCACAGGGCTCCAACCTAGGACCTTTACTTTTTGTTATTTCTATTAATGATATTGCAGTTCCTCTTAATTGTTTCTACCTTTTTTACGCGGATGATGCGAAATTATTTTTGCCAATTGCTTCGATTGCTGATTGTGTGAATTTACAAAGTAATATTGATAAATTCGTCTCGCAGTGTGATCTTTTTAAGCTTTCTCTGAATCCAGGGAAATGTGTTGTAATGACGATATCACGTAAAAATGACCCCATCATATTCGATTACACCATAAATGGAGTTTGCTTACAGCGAGTTAACGTTTTTAAAGACCTTGGTGTTTTCATTGATAATAAATTGTCTTTTAATCCTCAAATTGATTATATGGTCGCATCTGCGTCTAAAATGATGGGTTTTATTATGAAGATATGTCGAAACTTTTGTTCAACTTCGCCTATTAAGGTCTTATATTATTCACTTGTAAGGTCCAAGCTGGAATATGGATGTCTTGTGTGGTTTCCATCGCTTCATAAGCATATTGATGCTCTTGAATCCTGTCAGCGCCGATTTCTGAAATTTATGGCGTGGAAATCTGATGGAACCTATCCCCCTCAGGGATTTAATCATGACTTACTATTAGCGCGTTTCAACGAATGGTCGCTTAATGACAGACGTAAATTTTATTCTTTACTTTTTATTTTTAAATTAGTTAATGGATTTATTAATGCACCCCTGTTACTTTCCGATCTGAATTTTACAGTTCCGAGACTCTCGTCACGGTCTTATAATTCCTTTTACGTGCGTGCCTCCAATTCAGCTTGGACTCGATCATGTCCCATGTATTACTTAAGTGAAGAATTTAATATAATCGAGAATGAATGTGCGAAGTCTTCTGTCCGCCTAGATGTATTTGCCGATACGTTCAGCAGTTTTTCTAATGCATTGAAACGTTATTTTGATTCATCATATGCAGCAACGTAATTGCATTCCACTCTCATTTTCTTTTTTTTTTTTATTCTTACGCTGTTATTTCTTATTTCTTATCTCTTATTCTTTGTTATTCTACTATGTTGCGCACCTCTGTATATAGTAGCCCTGTTATTGGTTGTAAAACTGTTGGGCTTCAGTAATAAAAATAAAATAAAATAAAATTATTAGTTTTTTAGTAAACTTGGAAAAAGCGTAAAGTGTGGACACGTAGTCCTGGTCTCCCCTATATTATCTAGAATTGACGTAAACTTTGAAGTTTTGTCACTTACGTATCGTCAGCTATCGTCACAGTCTCAAACTTGAGGTGCGCACTATTATCTACTGCGTCGTATTCCCCTACTTTCCCTTATATGGAAATAAGTCCCAAAGAAAGCTATAATGATTAAATTGCTAGTTTACACTGAATGTGTTTTTCAATTGTAAAAATTTGTAGATATCATTTTATATTGTCATTTTCTTTTATGATAAAGATTTCTTACAATTATCTATAATCAATAAAATGCATTACGTGACCATATCACATGACAACAACTATCTTTCATTGTTTAGCTTTATTCGCATTTATGATATTGTCTTCCGCATTTTATACTAGAGTCAGTTATTTCAGCGTTTATATTATACATAAATATAATAATATATATGTCTACTTACAGACAATGTAAACATTTCCTATCTTTCTTTTCATCTTTTTCGCATTCTTTATTCTAATCCCAACCTCCCTTTCTCCTTTTCTTCTATTTTTTGTCCATCGTTTCTTTCTAATATTTCCTTTATCACTCGACTCAGCTTTCGATCTTTTCACTCTTTCTTGCACCATCCTTCTTTTTATTTTCTTTCGATATCTCTCTTGAAAATTTCTCTTCCTATATCTCATCCAATAATCTCTTTCTTATCCTTTCTGGTTTTTCCTCTTTTCTTTCTCTTCTGTTCTTTTACTTACAATTAGACCATCACCGGAAAATATTTCTAATCTATTTATTCCTAATTCTTTCAATCTCTCTATTTTTTCCTTTGTCCTTTCCTCTCTTATTACATAATCAATCGTGTGTTCTATTCTCCTCTTATGCATGTATGCATTCTTTCTCTAGATCTCTATTTACTGAACCATTTAAAATTCCCCATTCTAGATTTCCTAGGTATTCATGTAACTAATTTTTTTATTTCTATTTAATTTCTTGCCTTATTTCACGTTTCTCCTCTATTCTCTATTTTCCTCTATCTTCCTCTGCTCAACTCCTCACTCTCTCTTGTCTTAGCAATAGTTATGAAAGCAAAATAATGTTCAAACACGTTATGAAGAAATTTTATCCTTTTATTCTCAGAAATTATTCTTTAATATAATGTTACGTATAATTATTTGCATTGGTTGCATGATAAAGCATTGAACTGAGATAGCAATAGGTTTACAATTATCTATAGATACAATTCGTGTCTCTCTAAATCGCGATATGCTTATCGTTCGTATTTTCCGGGAGCACCGTCGGTCTCCGCAACATCGGCACGTGTTACTTATATTGCGGACGCGAATAGATTCTTTCTCTTTTTCTCGCGAGATTCAGCCAAAGAATGTCCGATTCAGTGATTCGCTATTCGCTCGCGGATGTCGCAAAATGCAACGGCAAGAATGGAACAAAAACCTGGATCGTGATCTACGACAATGTTTACGACGTAACGGATTATATGCAACAGGTACCTACGCGTTAATAAAATCATATATTACAAATTACATATTTTGTTTTAAATGTAATTATGTATTTTTTTTATATAAATCGGATTATCTCATTATTCTATGCGCAAAAGTATTAAGTAAAATAAAAAAATAAATATTTTAAATGATATTTTATATTTTACGTGAAAGTATGTCGAAATAATATATGAAACATTTTGTAAATTATTTATATATACACACATACATATATATATACAAATATAATTATTGTAATATATAATAATATATTACTGGTTATAAAATTATTGTAATATATAATAATATGTTGCATGTTATAAAAATTAAAATAAATTTTATTTCTGAAGACACAGTCAGCAGTAATTCGTACTCATTTTCATCTGTGATTGATAATAATAATGTGATTTTTGCGATTTATAACACTTCAACTTTCCAGCAATACAAATTACAAAATGTGATCGAAATTATCGTATAATCAAGAAAAGAAGATAATTCTCTTCTACGAAAATAAGTTAAAAGTATAAAAAAAATTATCTGTATGTGAGAGTTTGAAAAAATTTATTTTTTAAAATTTGAAAGATTAGTTAAAATTAGGAAATAAGAGTTTTTATCTTATATCTTTTATACCTATAAGTTTTTCACCTTTAACAATCTTGCGTGTTATTAAAACATAATAAAACAATGGAGTGCTCTTTTCAAAAAATAAAATAAAGTTGATTATTACAACGTCTACGTATAATATTAAATCTATTTTTACCTATTCCCTTAAAAAGTTATTTTAATTTATATTTTAATAAATATTATTAAAACAAATTTGATAATTTGCAATAAAAGATATACAATACATTACCGTAATTTTTATTATTTTTCTATATTTTTATTAATATATCTTAACTTGTATTTATTATATCATTATGCACTTACTATTGTATTACACTATTGTTGCTATTATGTGTTATTATATAACTCAGTTACATGCGAGGCTAACTTATAGCTATTAATAATAATTTCTGTTATAATAATATTCTGTTAATAATAATTTCTGAAATAATAATAAAAGTAATTTAATAAACAAAATATAGGAAATAATATTAATTATAGCATCCCGGTGGTCCAGAATTACTTGAGGAATACGCGGGAAAAGATGCAACGAGTGGATTTGATGATTTCGGACATTCTTCAGATGCAAAGAAGATGCTCAAAAAGTATTTGATTGGTGAACTTCAAGATGTAAGTACAAGTTTAATATTCCTCAGACATAAATTTAATTATTAGTACTAACATCTACAGAAGCTATACGAAATCTCACGAAATCGGTTTTCGTAGTTCCATTTCATCCCTCTCTAAAAAGGCGTGCAAAGTCAATACTCAAATGTATCGCGGTTATTGTTGACTCTTTTCCGCGATGCCGATTGGTTCTCTCACTGTCCTTACTTCATGAGCAGCTGTCATCGTATATTTTGACAGTTGTGTGTAATGTTAAAGCTAAATAGCGCGCGCGAAGCGCGCGTCTGTAGTGTCTAGTCTAGTCCCTCTCTAAAACTAGTAGGATAAATGATAGCTTTTCATATATGGGTAGTTAATTGGCTAATCTTTTTGGATATAATACGCTAGATGTAATATATTACAGGAAGATAAAAGTGTCAACAGAAAGAAGAAGCGTGCTATTTCTAACGGAATAACAGAAAATGGAGCGAATAGGCAAAAACAAAGGTGCACTTTTGAATTAATAACATTAATGTTTGTATTAATCATAAGCAGAAAATTTCTTACGCCATTTAACGGTAATTATAAAGAAGAAGCGGGCTTCCTCACCGATAAAATTGTCGCTCTCAATTAGGAAAAAAGTTATTAAGTACTAAAAGTTGACAGTTGCACGGTTAGGATGTCTGTCATTTATTATACTTTGTATTCTAGATTTTTTAATATGCCAATTATTTTCTGCGTTTAAAAAAGCATAATAACTCTATTTCTATTCTTTTTTTTTATAATTTATGTTTTTTGTTAAAGCAGAGAATAGTTGGTCCAACAAAAGACATAAATTATTATTTTCTTTGGAAAATGTGCAGTTTTGTTTTTTTTGTACCAAATATACTATAATATATTGAATTAAATGGTTAAAAAAGATAATAAAAATAGAGTTATTATGCTTTTTTTAAAGCAGAAAATAATTGGCATATTGAAAAGTCTATAAATACAAAGTATAATAAATGACAGACATCCTAATCACACGCAACTGTCAACTTTAGTACTTAATCACTTTTTTCCTAATTGAGAGCGACAATTTTAACTTATAGATTCATGTTTTACACACCAAAATACACCAAACTGTGAAGTTTCAGCCAAATTGGTGAGAAAGTCCCTCTCCTTCATAATTACCCATTTAACTTCACTATAATGTGACGCAGAGAAAGTCTATTTAGAAGCGACGCTTCCTTAAAAGAGAGGAATGTATAACACCATAAAAACGTTTTTAACATTCTAAAGAAATTAATTTATATTTAATATATATAATAATGCTTTGTAACATAACACGAATTTAATAGATTAAACAGAAGGTTTTTATCCTATTACTAACTTTGCCATTCTCATTTGCTATTCTTCTGTTTCAGAACTTTTTTAGCAATAATCTGCGGCAAGTGTAT